TGATGGTGACATAGGTAACCTAGGAGAGGAGAGTCCTCTCCCCATACCGTGGACAAGGTAGGAGGATTACTTCCTATTGAGTGGTCTGAGACAACAGTGGTGAGAAGGAGCCAGTTATTTGAAGAACCCAGGAAGGAGGGCATAGCAGGTGCTAAGGAGGTGTGAGGAACAGTGAGAAGGACAGTGTGGCTGAAAAGGGGTGAGTGAGGGGACAGGCAACTGCCCTATTCTCTCCACCCATTTTGAGTCTTGACTGTCTGGTGTTCTCTAGCACCTAATACATTTAATCTCATCTTTTGTGCATCAATCCATCCATTCATCCATTCTGCAAACATTTATTACAGCCGACAGTGGGGGTGCTAAGTCCTGAAGGAAGGGTTCGCCAAGCAGAAGGGACAAGACACACCCCCCCTTCCCCCCCCTCCCCCCACCAGGCAGAGAAAGGCCCATGAGCCAATCCCGGAAAGGAAAAAGCTCAGCATTTGGGTAGGGCCTGTTGGGCAGGGCTTTGAGTGCCCAGGAGGCACTCCACCAAGTGGAGAGCATAGAAAACCTAAATGCAGAACTCCAAGAAATACTGAGATATATGAAAAAAAATTGTGATGAAATCCATGATTCTGGAATAAATCAGATCTAGTCTTACACTATATTCTAATACAGCTAAGTGGTAGCAGGGACTGACAGTTTAAGAGAAAGTCGGGGGAGAAACACTTAAGATGGAGACTATTCCATCAATTCACTTCATTTTTTTTTTCTGCCAAGCAAGAAAAGACCATCATTAGTTAATATTAGTGATGCCCAGCTTGGTTCAGCTTAGATAGCACCTGTTTTCTGCTGAGCGTCATTTGAGATCGGCTGGCATGGGCCAGAGGGAGCTGTTTCGTGACCTTAGTCAGGCAGTGACACGATCAGTTTTGTGCTTTGGAAAGGTCACTGAAGCTGCAGGATGAGGAGGGAAGAGATGGGTGGTTGTTAGCAGGCTCCTGGAAAAATCTACATGATGAGAAACAGAATTTGGGCAGAGACAGTAGAGTTGTAAATTCCCTGAAGGCAAGAGTTTTGCTCTGTTTCATTCTTTTAGCAGTGACTGGCAAGAGATAGGCACAGCCACTGGTAGATTTTTAGAAATGCCTACTGTCTTGAATTGTCTGGTATTAAAAGCGACTGGAGTCCAGACAAAACAAAATTGTTGCCTCTCTCCAGAGTCTTCCTTCCTAGAAGAGGCATCATAGCTGAAGACAGACCCAGATTGGGAATTTTCTGTTGTTGAAAATACTCAAGGTTTTGAGGAACTATTTGGTGACACAGAACACACAGCTCCTGTTACCTGAACCTAGCCCCAAATCTGCCTGTTATGTCACATCTGTGCAGACAAGACATGCGTTAGGCTTGAGGGCTTTTGCTGCTTGATAAATGAACAACCATCTGTCTTTCTATAGGTAAGAGAAAGGCCAATGTTAAAAGCTGTCTTTGAGACTGTTTAACCCCCTCTTCCACATGAGAATGCATTGCAGACACATCTGGATTCCCAAGCTCCAGAACAAGAATCTTGGAAATGTGCTTAGATTTCCAAGTGTTCAGTTCTCAATACCATGCCATTCTCTTTGGAGTTTATGATGCCTTCCAGGGAGAGCAGAGCCCACGGGAGCTTTCCAACAGCAAGACTACTGTTGTGATAAATGACATTGCCCATTTGTGGAGCACTTACTCTATGCTGAACTCCCATAAGGGCTTCACAAGTCCTGTCTCATTTAAATTGTTTTCACCAAAGGGTGTGTCCCCCACTGCTAGTCTGTTGTGCTAACCATCCCCTCAGTACTTGAGAACCTGCCTCTGCTCCAGCCATGGCTTGGCTTCATTGGGGTTCCCTTCTGCAATGAATAAGATGGCAAGAAAACAATGAAACCCTTGTCCCCAAAAATGACTTATTGAATTCTTGGCAAAATGTTAGAAAGTGGGTACGAAGCTCAAGAAACAGAACACTGAGTCTCAGCAAGCCCTAGGGGTGTTACAGAATCCTGGCCCAGGCCAAGAACGAGACACGGTGAAAGCTTTTAGAACGTACGGCCATCAACCTGGATTTCAATTCCAGGGAAACACATACTTGGCCTTGGCGGAATGCTTTAAAAA